GGGGTGAGGACAGAAGGTAGAGGATGTGAACATAAAAATTCAACATGAGGGATCCTTGTGGAGATAGAACATTCTGTATCTTTCCTGCATCAATTTCAATGTTCTGAGCAGGACATTATACTGTAGTGTTGCAATGTGTTACCATGCAGGGGAAACTGAATAACAGGCACATGGGATCACTCTGTATTATTTCTTACAAATACATGCGAATTTACAATTATCTCAAAACCTAAAGTTTAAACAACAAACAAAATTAACCAGCAATATATATATGCCAGTGTGCCAATGTTGAGAAACCTTGATCTAGAACAGTGATGGTGAACCTTTTGAGCTCGGCGTGTCAGCATTTTGAAAAACCCTAACTTATCTCTGGTGCCATGTCACATATAGAAATTTTTTTGATATTTGCAACCATAGTAAAACAAAGACATATTTTTTTATATTTATTTTATATATTTAAATGCCATTTAACAAAGAAAAATCAACCAAAAAAAATGAGTTCGCGTGTCACCTCTGACATGCGTGTCAGAGGTTCGCCATCACTGATCTAGAAGGAAAGCCAGACATACCAAATAAGGAAGCTAAGGAAGGGCTGTGAACCTGTGGTTTGGGGGGGGGGGGGTAGGAATCAAGGCTGGTTTCACAGAATACATGTCATTTGGTTTGAGCCTCAAAGAATATCAGGTTTCTAGGAGCAGAAGAAAGGAAAAGATTTTTTGTTGTGAAGAATAGTCAAAAGTTGTGTCATGGTATCTCAAAGTATCTAGCGAGGTGGTCTGGGGCCTAGATCAAGGAGTTACTGCAGTTCTTGAGTTACAGTAAGTGCTGAGTTTCAGCTCTGAGTTATACACATAATGGATGCCTCCAGCAGGGAAGCACAGTTACTCCTATACTCCTGAGACAGCTTCAAGGACAGAGAGTATGCAAAGGAGTAGGTCAAATAAACCCAGCGGTGAGCAGTGGGCTCCTTGACATTTAGAGTCCCTTGTAATTTTAAGTGTTGTTCACGCTTTCCCAGGCAGTGAGTGGCATGATCTGACCTTCGTTTCAGTAGTCTATCGGAGGTTGGCTGTCCGGCACCTGCATTAGAAAGGAAAGAGATTGGAGCCAAAGAAGACAGGAAATGAAAGAGGCCCTGTATTGGGGAAATGGAACACACAAGATTAGATGGATAATGGAGACATTTCAGAGAACTTGGAGACACCCAGTTTGGCAAGAGAGGTCTGAGCTGATTCTGAAGTTTCTAGTCCAAGATAGAGGTGCCATTTCTCAGGATGTCCCTTCCTGAAGTAGAAATGCAGGAAGATAAACAGAGCCAAGAGGGAGGGCGGTGATGTGATTGGTTTGGGAGGTGTGAGGTGTGAGGTGCATGTTGCTGCTGGCGATTTCCAGGAACTAGTTAGAAACTTGGTTCTATAGCCCAGGAGAGAGAATCAGACTGAAGATAGGTCATGAGAGGTTGGATGAGGTTACTTGAGTGACAGAAGCTCCCAGAACTGAACTTGGGAGAATATCAACACTCAGGTTAGAGAAGTTAGAAATGAAGAGAACAGAGATGCAGGAGAAAATCTAGAAGAAAAAGCTCTGAAGTCCAGGGTGGGGAATCACAGAGGAAGTTATACACAGCAGAATCTGGAACCGCACAGAAATTCTGCAGTATCAGACAGGGGTGAAGAGCGTTGAATCGACACTTGATTGAACCAACTTGCGCAGAGGGGCCTGGATGGCGCACTGAGGGATGTGAAGGGCTGTGTGCACAAGAAGAATCCAGCGGGAGGGAGTGTGCTGCAGGGGCTGTCAGCCTTTCTTTTTCAATATAATTGGTAATATTACAATTCAAGTTATTTTCCTCCCATGAACTTTCTTGGACCTGGTGAATTGTTCTCTAGCATCACTTTCATAATTATATATGTTTGTAAAGAAACCATAACTAACGGAGCAACAGTGGCGAAAAGGCCTTTTACCAGAGTTGGTCATTTTTAATATCTCCTTTTAATTCAAATCATTTTATGTATATTTTTTTAGATACAGTTTCTGTTATTGGAAACTGCATGTTGATGAGTAAGTGGACATTTACATTTTCACTTTGAACCTTTTTTAAGTTTCAGAGCTATGTTAGGGAATGCGTGCATGTCTATATGTGTGAATTTCATGAAAATTATATTTTGTGCCTTCCAGTAGTTGATTAAACTTCTTACTCTGTTCTGATTTTGCTTGAATCTCACAGTAAAAGACTTTTGTTTCACAACCTCTGGGAATACCATGCAGTGCAGAATATGAGATTTTTAGAGGCCAAACTAACTTGGTAGAAATTCAAATCCATCTTTTATCTTTTAGATAAAAGCCTTTGAAATCCTTTTAGTGTGAAGTTATCAGCAGGCTTGATTCTCATATAACCTCATTACTAACCCAAGGATTATTCAAAATGCATGGAGAGCAATGCTCTGTGGCTGAAACTCGGTTTTCATCAACTCTACAGTCTAGAGATAAGCCCCATGTGGTCCTCCTGGTTCTGGTTGGGAAATTCTGCCTGTCCTGCCCCCATCCCCCTAGAAGATCAAGTACAGATTCAAGGCTCTCATAAGTTGTGCATGAAAGAAACCTGTTCGGCTCTATTTGAGCATTTCCCAAATTTATTTAACCACAGAATCTTTTCCACATTAACATTTTATAGCTCACCTAGGGGTTTTGTGAGATAAGAAGTAGAATGGATATTCTTAAGGGATTGATGCCTCAGATCCGAAGTATGTACTGCTGGAAGTAATGGGGTGTCCTCAACATGTCTTTGTGTCATGGATCGGACTTGAAGTGTGAGAAAAAATTCTTATCCACCTTCCTCACTGCTCATCCTCCTCCCCCCAGTATGTCAGGAATTGGCTTATTAGGTACTGGGCTTCTGCATATTTTCCTGAAAAAAAAGAAGAATGAAAAGAACAAGAAAGCTTCATCAGTTGTTTCTAATTTCATTCAGTGGAATAAGATTCCAATTAAGAAATTAAAATAGAATTTGTTGTGGATGTAATCGTATGAACAAAAGGTAGTTATATCAGGTTCACCAGTTGTTAGTCTCATGTTTAGTTAAAACAAGATAATTCACTGTTTGGGGGACAAATGTAGTTTCCAGAACTGAGACCATTTGATGATTTACTTATTCCATGAGGGGATGATCTTATCTGCTCAGATTTACATTTGGAGCAATAAAACCTCCGGCAGCTGCTGCTGGCTGTCTGCGTGAAGAGGAGGCTTTCTTGAACATTCCTGTTTTATGGCTTTCTTGAACATCTGAAGTTGGGGTGAGGATGGGAAAGGTTTACCTATGGAGGCCGTAAATGACCAAGTCTGATACCAGGGAGGTAAACCAGTCCTTTTTGGAAGAGCTGGTAAATCTCTCAGGTCACAGGCCTCCATATGTTAAAACCTGTCAGAGGCTTAAAAAAAATCAGGGGACAGCTGCCACCTCCTCTTCATCAGGAAAACAGTCACTTCAATTTAAAAATATGGGCTTTCACCTTTTCTTATGAGCTCATAAGGTGACCTTACTCACCCCACCCTCTAGGAGCCTGAGCAAGGTAGGGTCTGCCTGGTGACCTGATTCCAGCTGACAACATTCTGGTCAGGGTGCAGTGTGGGGACAGCACTTGGGGGAGGGCCTGGACACAGTCTCAGCCCATGGACACTGAGACGGACCAAGAGTGTAGCCATTGCAGAAGTCGCTGCCCTTAGCAAGATTCACCGGAGGCCACTCACATTCCTGGCAGGTGCAGGCATCAAGGACGATTATTCAAACCCCTGAATTCATGACTCCGAGGCTGTGACAGTGTGGTCTGTGTGAGCTCATTCTCAGAGTCTAAAATTATTCAGCTTTCTTCTGTGGACACGAGTACTTTGGTTAAAGGCTGCCAAGTTTATGACAGAATCTGGTGGGGGGGAGATTTTTATTGCCTAATAAATAACATCATAGAAGGTCATAATTCCATATTAGCCACTAAATATCTAAAATGGTTAAAGTATGCAAAGTTAGGTCCAAGATATGGATGAAAAACAGCTCAGTGACATTTCTTGAGAATTATTCATTTTCTTTTTCAATCTGAAAATGGAACGGGAACATTCAGCTAAATCCCAGGCTTAGAAAGCTGAGCATCGCCTGGAGGACTTAAAGAATTACACTGGCAAAGCCATTTTTCTTTAGACTTTAAATTACAAACTAAAAAAAAAGTTCTCCGTGGAATTTTGGGAGAAATCTCAAGTTCTCGGGTGTTTAGGAACTAAACAGACCTGTAGAAACTCACACCGTGGTCTTTCTTTGCCTGCCATCTTGGACAGACATGGGATCTGCTGGGGAGAGACAATTTTGGAGCATCTTCATTGGTGGGTCAGTTGTCTTCTGCAATGAATTCTAAGACCCGGCAGTGCTCTTAGGCAAGACCTTCTTTCTTTTGGATAAAGTCATTGCTCTAGATACAGTGAATCTATTTTTCATCTTTCTGCCCTTACTAGGGAAGAGCTGTTACACACACACACACACACACACACACACACACACACACACCAGCCTCTGCTATAGTCTTTTCTCTCCTTGAAGACCTTTTACCTACCTAACTTCTTGTCTTCTAACCCCATGTTCTTTGAACGTTTTTACCCCTTCATCTCCCTGAAAATTGCTATGACTCTCACATCCTCAATCATCCCTCCGAACCTCTCCTTCCCTAAAACTAAACATCAATCCAAGGTACAATTTGTTGAAAGGCATGCAGTGATGCCACTAGTTTAAGTCTTGGCTCATGGGGATTGCGATGGGCAGAGACCTCCTCCTCTGATCAAGGCTCAGTGGATCTCCAAGGACATCTCTGGGATTGGACATACACCCAACACAGTGCACATCTCGTGTGCTGTTAGATCCTTTTAGCACTTACAGGGCTGACACTCCTGTTGTTTCCCCCTCAGGCAGGTTGGGCTAACATTTTCTATGTCAATTAAAACATCGTTTTTGTTGTCAACAGAGACCAGATACTGCTACACTCAGCACACGATGGAAGTCACGGGAAACAGCATCTCTGTCACCAAACGCTGCGTCCCGCTGGAAGAGTGCTTGTCCACTGGCTGCAGAGACTCCGGGCATGAAGGCCACAAGGTCTGGCAACAAAGCACGTGCCGGTACAGCATAGTCAGCCTTTCTCCTTCGGATGTCCGCCAGTGCTCACGAGCAAAGTCTCACTTCCCATGGAGCCTAGCTTTTGACTGACCTTATAGCATTAGAAGATGCTTCCTTTCCTGTTTGCTCTAAAAGAATAAAGATTTATGCCAGGGTGTAGGATAAATGATGTAAACACAACACCAAGAGGGTATTGAAAATTATCGCAAGCCCTTTCTTCACTCAGAAGAAAGTAATAAAACTGCCAGAAGGAAATGGAACAAGGGACCAATTATGTCCTCATGGCAAAGCACTGCAGGTGCAGCAACAACTCATCAGCTGTGGGTGGCCAAGGCGGCTTAGCTCTGATAGCTCTCTGTAAAGGGGGGCCATGCCGCTTGTAGGATGCTGATTTGGGGAAGGTATGCGTTGGCTCCTGAGTCATTTCAGTAGGGAGTGAGAGCACCTTTTCCTTGTGGGGTTGCTCCCCTGAAACTCCATCTGGTGCCTGTGCCGAAGCACTCAGTTTCAAACCAACTTTGAGGCCAGTCTTGAAAGAGAATATAACGATCAGAGGAAGGCCACCTGGCTCGCGGTTGGGATGGAGAATGCCCCTGACGCCCTGGCTGGTGGTTCAGAGCTGGCTGCCCAAATGAGCTTGTATGTCAGGCCTTGGCCTTTATTTTTTCGCCTCCGGCTGCCTTCCTGGGGGTTGGGAGCAGTGCCCGCTCTGATAGCCGGCAATGGTACTGTTCGTGGGGGCTTCTTTCTCTTAAGACTTGTCCAACACTAAGAATTAAATTTTAAAGTATAATCTGCCTACTAGCTCCTGGTTTGCAATGTGAAGGTAAACCCCAGGGTTTTACTTGACCCTCTAGCAGGCCGGACCTGGTTCTCAGGCATCATTGTGGTACTTCACCGAGGAGGAAGTTATAGATCAGAGAAGTGACATCATGCACTCAGGCCACACAGCTAGTGATCAATAGAGACAGGATCCCAACTCACTTCTGACCCGTTTCTCTCCTCGACTTTAAAATGTCTTCCCAGCCCCTATCAGGGGTGAGCAGACTGAAGTCTCTGCAGGAAGTGACAGACTATTACCCATCACTGTGGAGTCTTCAGGCATTACTGCGGAGGCAGGCCACTTGCAAATCTTGTTAAAATGCAGATTGTCGTTTGCTAAGTCCAGGGCTAGCTTGAGGTTCTGCATCTCTAATGAGCTCCCAGTTGATGCTGAAGCTTCTGGTGTGTACTTAGCATAGCTATGGCCTGTCGATAATTCTTTGGGTTTACTTCTATCTCATGAGCCACAAGGAAAGCTGTATGAAGCATTAATGGCATAAATGAAAACCCTTCAAACCTTAACTCACCAACCAGAATGGAGAGAATGATGCAGACAATTCCAATGAAAGTAAATATTTAAGTCAAAATTATCTGTGTTGTTGCCCCTTCACTTTCCCTGTGAAAACTTGGCAAGTGGAAGTTGCCCTCGTCAGTTTCCGCAAGTGGTCAGAGGAGCCTCTTTGGGAAAGGTAGGATAAGTATTATTTATAATCCATACTTCAGAGAGGGAATAGTCAGGATCTAGGAAACATGTAAACCTGGAATAACCACAAGATGCGATGTCAAAAGCAGAACCCACGTCCCTTGAAGCGTCGCTGGGGCCTTTCATTTTGACCACACCTTCCAGATGACATCTCATCACAGCCCCTGCGATGCAGGCTGGTGTCTCCTTTGTAGAGCAGGTCATTCCCATCTGAGTCTCATCGTGAAGGAAACAGTCCCTTCAAGAATCCCTGCCTCCTTCCAAGACCTGCCAGCTTCTCATCACCCTTCTTTTTCTTCTTTCCAGGTCTGCACTTCCTGTTGTGAAGGAAATATCTGTAACTTGCCGCTCCCCCGAAATGAAACTGATGCCACATTTGCCACAACGTCACCCATAAACCAGACAAATGGGCAGCCACACTGCGTGTCAGTGATAGTGTCCTGCTTGTGGGTGTGGCTGGGACTCACCTTATAGCAGCTCAAAGGCGCGATGTGTGGTGGCAATCTGAGGGGATCTCGACGGCCCGCAGTCATGCATGAGTCATTGGCCGGGCAACAGTACACACGTGAAACCACAGCACTCAAGGATGTCTTCCTAGTCAAGCATCTCCACTTCCCGTGAGGAACAAGCATTGCTTCAGTCCAAGACCTTATCAAAGCCAGCCTGCCCCTAAAATAGACTGAGTTCTATACCACAGACCTTTGTTTTCACCCCAAGAAATAGTTCTGCATTTATTGAGTTCTGGCTCTTAATTTGGAAGACATGCATGGGCCACAGGAGATCCTGGGCCCCTCTGAGATGTTAGGCAACGTGAGTAGTTGTGCATTTTTCAGGAGAAAGTTAAAGGACTGTTGGTTTAAGTATAACCATGAATTCACAGCTCTAGAATTTTAAAATTTTAATTGCAAAATGAATGGACTGTTTCCTCGGAGATTTCTACTGAGTCCCTAGAAAAGAAGTGAACAATTTGTCCAATTTATGTTTCCAACATTCTTCTCCCAATGGCGGGGATCATATTCCCTCTGCTCTGTGTGGGAGATAAAAAGGCAATCATAAAAGTTTGCTGTATGGGGAGGAGGGCTAGAAAAGGATTTTTCCTAATTTAATGGAATTTGCATCCGTAAAGTGGGCATTTATCCCTTCGTATCATTGGGGAGATTGGCTTGACTTAGCACCTTGTTATGCTCCACGCGATCCTGGTTCTTCCTGGAATGATGGGTGTCCCACAGCAGGATGGGGTGTTCTCTCCGGGCACGGGGTTCTATTCAGACACAGCTAATTGAGGCAGAGAGAGGCCTTTAAAATGAAAGGAGGGAGAATGTCTGGAGGTTGGTCCTCGTTCACTCTGAGGATCCAGTGAGTGGCTCAGCCAGATCTTCCTCCATCAGCAAGTCATGCTTCCCAAGAGCTCTCCCCGTTCTTCCTCCTTTCAAATCCCCAGTGACTTGAGGGGGAAGGTTCTACATTGAATTGTCTGGAGATTCATAGGGAAAGAAGACATCATATCCTAGGATGAGAAGTAGGTGAACCAGTGGGATGGTAGTGAGACTAGTAAGGAGACCTAGTGGGAAGTTTTTATTTCTTTTAGCTGATTGCTTTTGAGGTAGACACTAAAAACTTCACCATCCTTCCTATATTTTTGGCACCCCAAGTTACAATTTTTTCTTCTTCCTTGTAAATCATTTATACAATATTTATTTTTGTATGGCATAACTAGAAGCTAAAGTATATTGTAAAAGATTCTTTATTCTGAACAGAATGATCAAATCAGAATACCTATTTTTCAACAGTGGTAGAGCTTGTAATATATGTGTTGAACATTATCTATAATACTTGCACCAGTGTTGAAAAGAGCTACTTATGTTGTGACCAAGAGTAACATGTTGGCTTTGAGGTTTTGTGTTTGTTCCTGGTTTCCTCAGTGTTGTGGTTCCAGAAGTATTCGGGTGGTGACCATCACTGGTATGCATTTCTCTGCAGGGTTGTGGGGGCGTATTTGCATGAAATTTGGTGGAGCCATTGCGGATAAAGTTGTCAGAGTCCGTCTGCTCTGCACAGGAAAATGTTTCTGGCTCATAAAATGAGACCTCCTCAGGGACCAATATGAACTGACAGTGGTTAACTCTGATACACAATAATCTAAATTGCATCAAATGGCCTTAAATCAGAGTTTGGCAGGTTTATCAATAAGTTGCTTATAATTGGGGTGGAGGATTAGAGGGAGAGGGAGCAAGACATTTATTAAGCACCTCTTACGTGCCAGGCACTATGCTAAGCACTTTACATAAATTAGATCATGTAATTCCTACAAGAACCATGTAAGGAAAATTACTAGTACTTACACTTTAGAGATGAAGGTACTGTGATTCTAAGAAGCTCAATAAGATGAAGCCCTTTCCTTCTGATTTGGGACAGACGGGATGAGGAGGGATTGAAGAGGAAGGGAGGGTGGAATTGCCACCCTTAGGAAAACTTGCAGGCCTGACTTCATGGGAATTGGCCATCTTACCATGCATAGTTTGTCTAGTCCTGCCTCTGCAGGGTGCCATTTGCATGTGTTCCCAGATGTTTTTTCTTTGTGGGGGTGAAGGGATGGTTTTCTCATTCACTCCTCTTGCTAAAAGAGGAGACAGGTTGATCCTACATATAAAGATGCTCTGAGACAATGAAAATTGGATGTTGTACATATCTACATATACATTTTGTGCATGGTCACTCTCCACTGACACCTTCCAAGTACTGCATGAGATTTCAATAGGAGACAAAGTCCAAAAGTTGGTTCTTAATGAGAAAACAAGCACTCCAAAGCCGCCTGGCTGGTGCGCAGGCCCAGGTCCACAATGACATCATCTGCCACCCACGGGGTCACTGCAAACTCCAAGCAGATGTGGCTGTGTGCGCCCTGTATGCCTGTCAGAATGGCTGGTGTTTTACACTCTCACAATAAAGTGATTTGCTTGCCATCCTCAGCCTCAAGGAGCCACAGAAGGGCCGTTTATGCGGAAGGCCCAGGACTGATCATCCATCTGACTTTTCTACCCCATTAAAGCTTCCGTTAAATCCCAACACTGATGATGGCTTGAAGTGCAAAGAGCCATGATGTGTATATAAACATATGTGCCACTTATTTATTTTTAGACTCCCCACAGCATTCATGTCAATATGGGATAAATGCCTAAATTTTGTAAATATTGTACATTTTGTAAATCAAGGAATAAAGGTTTTAAGTGTATCTCTCCAGGCTCTTCTGTACAAATGCACACGCCAATCAATGATTCAGGCACCCAGGTTATGTACCAGGCATTGCATTTAGCGCCATAAGGAACTTCCTTCCAGAAGCTCACGTTCTAGTTGAAGGACAAGAAATGCGTGCATGAAAAGATACAAGACCATTTCCTCGTGCCACATGATTCTTATAGACAGTAAGTGCTGCAGAAGATCCAAGAAAGAAAGATTACCAAACTTTTCAATCAGGTCTGTAGTTTTCCCAGAACATTTCTTTGTTAAATCAGGAAATATAAAAAGATTGTGTGTGTGTGGTGTGTGTGTGTATCACCCCACTAACAATTTCTAAATCTTGATACAATAGAAAGCATTTCCCTTGATGGTTTCTTCTGCAACAGGAAACAAATGTTTGAATAGCGTAGATGTCATTTTCATCTATACAATGAATTTATTGTAATTTTCACAGTAAAATGGTAGACATTGAAAGGGACCTTGAAAAACTCTAGCTTGTTTGTGATTTCTGATTATTCTTTCACACACTGTATTTTGAGATTTCCAGGAAAATGTAAATATTTCCCAAAGTTAAAGGTTTTTCTCTTAGGTTCTGGATCAGTGACACAGTTCATGCTCTAAAGTGACACATGTACTTCAATGAGGATAGTTGTTATCACTAACCTTTCTGAATAACTCTGTGTTCAATGGGCACAGCACCTCAGGTAGACTGCTTTTAGAAAATCTGATTTTGAAAACATAGACTTACACAGTAGCCCAATTGGGGGGTTTAAAAGGAGCCTTCACTTCATAAAACCACTTTATATCTCTTTCCCAACACACGTAAGATCTTATCTACAAACGAGACCCAAGGCACACCAGGTATCAAAAACCAGATGTGGTGCCTTGGCTACATTATGGTAGATTTGATCTGAAATACCTCAAGTGCTTTCACAAGTGTTTTTAATAAGTGACTTTAACTTGCCTATTAGGGGTGAAATATTGAAAGCTCTTTGAGCATCTGTTATTAATCCACATGATAACTGGGAGATTTAACCATAGCTATTCAGCCAGTTTTCTAACCTCACATAGCAACTTGAAACAGGACCACGGCATGAATATGAAGCATCGTGACTTTAGCCTGGAGTATTCTCCACTGAGACTACAGAAAAACAGGTGCTGATACTTCTTTAAATATAAAAATGTCTAACTTAAATTTGGTGTTGCACAACCAGTGCAGATTTCCAAAATGACTTTCTAATTGAGACTTCATTCTCTGCCGTTACTCTCTTTAGCTAATTTTAGTTTTATGCCTTTTCCCATTAGAAAATTACTATTGTCTTGCTATTTTTAATTCCATTGCAATTTCTGGAATTGGATGGGGGGAAGGGGATATCTATTTTAAGCTGACTAGAGACCTAAAATCCAGAGGCTGAGAAATGGTTTCTGTAGGAGCCTTTGCTACACTCCTCATAGCGACCCCTGATTCTTGTATGATTTCAGTTTGAAAGCACTTTGATGTTCATTGAAGTTGATCAACATGATCCATTTACAGCTTTCTCAGCTAACCAGAGCTCTGACATGGTTAAGGGAGGTCCCACTGGTCGTTTACACGATGACTTTGATTCCTGATCTGCAACTTTGTTCCATGCACACTTGTCACCAGGATGACAGTAATTTTTTTTTTAACTAAAAAGCCATTTCTCAGGTCCCAAAATCAGAGGTAAATGGGACCTTAGAAAATATCTAGTATACTCCCTTTATTTTTTATATATTTTTATTGATTTCAGAGCAGAAGGGAGAGGGAGAGAGAAAGATAGAAATATCAAGGATGAGAGAGAATCATTGATTGGCTGCCTCCTGCACGCCCCACACTGGGGCTTGAGCCTGCAACCCCACATGTGCCCTAACCAGGAATCAAACTGTGACCTTCTGGTTCACAGGTTGATGCTCAACCACTGAGACATGCTGGCTAGGTGTACTCCTTTTTTTATACAGAAGGAAGAAGAACCCCAGAACACTCAGACCATTTTTTCAGAGAAAAAGCCGCATTGCTTGCGCTAAAGAAAAGAGAAAACTCATCCAAGTGTCCCTTCGTTGATGCTTGAAGCAATTAAGACACAGGTTATGGAAAATAGTTTAGAGGTCTCCTCTTCCCTCACACTCCCTGTGGGGTTGGCAGTACCATGAGGACTCTCCGCACAGGGCAGGGCAGAGAATAGGTTTGAAGAGGACAAACAAGAAAGTGAGCTAGCCTGGTGGAACTATAGATTGTTCATTCGAACTTGAGAAGAAAAGTAGTTGGTGGAAATAATCATTTTCAGAATCATGTCCTTAGAAAGCAGAATGATATATCTAAATTAAGGATGATTACTTACTCAGAAATAGCTTTCTCAGGTTTTATGGCAAGTCTGGTGTCAAAAACCAGCTTCAAAAGCCATATTGAGGCCTAGAATTGAGGCTCCATTGGGGAAAGTGTGTATAAAAAGCAACTCTGTTGAGTTTAGGCAAAGTGAACAAAATATCACCAGAATATAACCATGCTGCAAAAGAAAGTCATATCCTCAATTATCCATTCAACTTTGAGAATTCAAAATCAACTTACTGTGTGACCCCTATTCTCTCTACAGGGAAGCGTGACTGTTGGTGTCACGAGGAGTCTGCACCCAGAGTCTGTTCACTGGGCCCTGGCTACTGGTCCTGTTTCAAGGCTGCCCACCGGCCATGGCTACTGGTCCTGTTTCAAGGCTGCCCACCAGCTTGACTTTGCCTCTCCCAGCAATAAAACAGAACTGAGTGAGCAACTAGGAGCCGCATCCCACAGAGGCATGTGAAGACGGGTTGTCTGAGGAAAAGGATCATGCTTGAGGGGTTTTGCATTGAGGTGCTTGTGTGGAAAAGAGCTGAATAGATCTCAGTGGTCTGGAAGAACATATTTGGGTTCCCTTGTGACTCACTCAGCCTGACTTGGCCCTGAACATGTCAGAACTTGGCTTATCCCCAGCTTGAAGTCTTTCTAAACACTCAAAGGGTTGGGCCTGTCCCTGACTTTAATATCATATTTAATTAATTAATGACCCTGTGTATGTTTTGCCACTGACCTAAATACCAAGTGTGCTGTGCAGAGACGCACCCTCCTTGATGCAAGAGACCAACACGAAATGTGAGATCCAGACCTCCCAGAAACTCACTTTCTTCAAAGTCAAATAATCTACAGAACTGAAAGGTCTATTCGCAGTATTAAACGTCTAGAAAAGCTTAGGCCAGGCTAGGGTAGAACATGTTAAGAAGAGACAACATGAGTATCTAGTCAAACTAGGTGGCCCATTGCCATCTTCATTTTATATGAAAGGGACAGTGAGGGCCTCCCTGTTTACCCACCTCAGGTGCTCCAAGCTACTCAGGCAGCCTACTAGGAATCTGATTTGCACAGTGTCCCCAGGTAGACAGATAACTGCCTAAAATTCGCAGAAGCCAGGAACTCACTCTTTGGTACACAGAAGTGAACATTTGACTCAGTCTGGAAACGCTTCTTTGAACAAGACCGGATATTTCTGCTTTGATAGTTTCAGCCTCGTGTCTGGGCAGTTTATTCCTGATACTTGACACAAAGAGAATGATATAGTTGAAAGAATAGAGCAAAGAGAGCAGGTTGCATGAAAGATTGTAGATCACTTCGGATAACACACTCTTCTAACATTGGGAACCACGGAGGAAGTGATCAGTAAGAGAGAAGCTGAGGATGCACCACCCGCTGCCCCACAGCTGGAGAACAACAAAGGCCTCCGCAGGGAGGCAAGGGGAGATAGGTGGTTTGGGTTCCTATAAATGAACTAGGCAAGAATTTAAGACCCAAATTACTGAGATTAGCAAACATTTCACAAAAAGAAGTGCAAGAACCTGTTCAAACTTAGACAAATGCAAAAATTCAATTCCTCAGACTTGCTGGAAGCAGGAATGCCTGGCAGTACTTTCCTAAAGAGCATGGAGTTGAGGGAAGTAAGTGCTTGCACCCTAATTTGGCACCGTCACCCTGAGACCTCAAATCTGCTATCCTGAGACCAACCCCAGTGCACCATCGTCTCCCAGGGTTCCTTAGCAGTGGCTCTCAATGCTAGGTACACATTAGAATCACTTGGGGGCTGGAGACTTTTCTAAAAATAATAATGACAAGATACCATGTGCAACAATTCTAATCTAGTTGGTCTTGGGTGCTTTAAAACACCAGATAATTAGTAAACTCCTCCTGCCCCAGGTGATTCTACTGGGCAGCCATTAACCAACAGACATAAAAAACTAATCACCCATCAGGGATGATCAATAATAATCACAAAAGCAAACTTAGTGAAGGCCATTCTAGAAAAATAAATCATAGACTTGTCCACTGGCACCCAACTTTCAAGTCATAGTCATCTACAGCTAAGTAAGATTGATCTCACAGCTTTCCTAAAATTTAATGTCCATGACCCTTCATTGCCCATCCCCTCCTTACCAGCTAACTCTTTTCACTTGTCAAACACCTGCTCATTTTTCACGTCTTGGATTAAACACAACTTCCCTGGAGAGTCTTCCCTCAACCTCTCAAATAAAAGGAGCCTTCCTTCTATTAAGTGCTATAGAACTTTAAACTTCTCCCTCAGGATACTTTATTCACTTATAATTATTTAATCAGTTATTACTATGACTCCCCACTACATTGTAAGCTCCACAAAGATGAGTAATATCTCCTTTTTATCCTGTTAAGGACAGTGGGCAGTCAGAAGGCAATCAGGCAGAATTCCTTTCTTCACATGGAACCTCAGTCTTTTTTCTTCAACTGATTGGATGAGGTTCATCCACATTATGGAGGGTGATCTGTTTTACTCAAAGTCAACTGTTTCAAATATTCATCACATCTAAAAATGCCTTCACAGCCACACCCAGACTGATGTTTGACCAAGCAGCTGGGCACCACAGCCTAGGCAAGTTCACAGAAAATTACCATTGCAATTGGTAACTTGTCAGTGCTCTTCACAC